GATGGTTTATAGCTCTCCTCTTACTAGGAATAAATTTAACACTAAATGTGCAAACTCTAAATATTTTATCTTTTCTGTTGCTATTTAAAATGTCACCCCCCCACACACACACTAACAGAGTCTCTTACTGATTATTGTTTGTACATGTAAAAGCTAATGATTTCTGTATAATTTTATATTTTGCTACTTCATATAACTACTTTTATTGTCTAAGTATTATTTCTCTTGTTTTCCAGGTTCATGCCATCATCTGCAAAAATCCAACTCTCCTGTCTCTAGAAGTTTCTTCTTTAAATGTGCTAGCTACTACCTCTAGTATAACATTAAACAGTGGTAGAATCAATGTGGTATCTTAGTATTTCCTCATTAAGTAAGATGCCCGCTTTGGGACAGAGACATTCATACATACTCATGGAAAAGAACTATTATTTAGTTCTTTTTTCTTAAATGTGTCACACAATGTTGAATTCTGTTCAGGGCTTTTTTGTCATCTGTGGGGACAACCTTTTCTATCTTAGACCTATTATTATGGTATTATATTAATAGATTTCATAATATTGAATTAAACTTACATTCATGGGTTAAATGTGCATGGTCATTATATACCATTTCTTTTTGTGTGGCTAAGATTCTGTTAACTAATATATTATTTAGAATCACTTATCAATATAAGTGATACTGGGCTATAATTTTTTAATTTTTCATACTGTATCAGATTATATTTATCCCCTACACTTTTATTTGTTCTTTCTGCCTTTGTTATTAAATTAGCTAGGTCTCTAATTTGTTAAAAGAAAAATGATTTGTTCATTAATTAGATCTGTTTTTCTATTCTTTATCTCAATTTGTGGTTTTATCTTTATTATTTTCTTCATTGGCTTTTTTATTTACTTTGTTTTTCTTGCCATATTGGTCTGGGAAACTTGATTCATTTATTTTCTTTCTTTTTTTTTTTAAAAAAAATTTTTTTTTTTTCAACGTTTATTTTTTATTTTTGGGACAGAGAGAGACAGAGCATGAACGGGGGAGGGGCAGAGAGAGAGGGAGACACAGAATCGGAAACAGGCTCCAGGCTCTGAGCCATCAGCCCAGAGCCTGACGCGGGGCTCGAACTCACGGACCGCAAGATCGTGACCTGGCTGAAGTCGGACACTTAACCGACTGCGCCACCCAGGCGCCCCCTATTTTCTTTCTTTTTAATGAAAAGGTATATATATAAAAAGTATACACTTTCCTCTGATTGGCTTAAATAAATCTCACAAAGTGCTATGATGAGTTTTTATTGTCATTTTTTAGAAATGGGTAATTTCAGCTTTTCTTACTTGCTGTTTCTTTTTCTACAGGATAACAAGTCTTACTTTCTGTTTTAACTTCATATTATTTGGAATGGTTTGTAGTTTTGTTCTAGTTGTTACCTTTATCCTTTATACAACTAGAGAAGTGTAATGCTAATCTCATCCTCTTCCCCTTATGAATTACTCGATCTTTTTGCCTAGAAGCCCTGAGTATGTTTTTTTTTATTTTTTATTTTTAATGCCTAATTGTTTTAATACCATATGTCTTGCTGGTGATTAATACTGGTTAATTTTCTCAGGCACTTTGTCAGCCCTGTCAATTTGTAGATTTTAGTCTTTTATTTCCAGATATTTTTCTCGGATTAGAGATTCAGTATTAGTTCTGCTCCACTGTTTTATCTTCCTTAGCGACTTCACTGATAGATCTTCTTTGCTTGACTTCCAATTCAAACACTTCCTGACTCATTTTACTTCTTTCTTCATTGCATTTTCATTCTCTTGGTTCCTTTCCTGCTTTTCTTCAGTGTTCTTTATTAAGTTCTCTTTCAAATCTATTCTTTAGACAGCTTATTCTTTAATATTTACTTCTGATATAATTTTGCCTTTTTCTACATTTCTTTCCAGAGTGTAATCAACTACCAATTCATTTCTTTCTGTTTCTGGAACATTTCTGTTCCTAGTTTTTGACTTCTAATTTAAAATGTTTTTATCCTATCTTTAAATGCTTGTTTGAAGATACTGAATAAAATCGTATGGTTGTATTACAGGATTTTTTTTTTCCTGCTTCACTATTGTTTTTCTAGCGGAGGGTTTTGTCAGAATTGTTTTCCGCAATTTAGGCATTTAAAAAAAACAGTAATTTTGTACACATAGGAAATCTAGCTGATTTGATTGGCTGGTGAAACTTTTCATTCAAGAGCAGCCTCCTGTGTCAGTGTATCAAAGCAGTTTCCTAATTGTATGGCTTTTATGGGGGTGGAGAGGGGAAGGATGCTATGAGTGGAAAGGATGTGTGTCCTTCAAGTTTTACAATTTTTTCTTTAGTTTTACACAATCCTAAATGAAGTCCTTTTTGTTGTTGGGTTTCAGTTGGTGAATTTATTCTTTTTTTTTTTTATCATTCTATTAGATATTTGGGTATGGAAAGTCTATACATAATATTTCATCTGTTATTTAACCTTGAATTCTTAAAGCCAAAACTTCTCTGTGTGTGTATGTGTGTTTACACATTTTATTTTTTAGAGTAGTTTTAGGTTCATAGCAAAAGTAATAAGCAGAATGTACAGAGATTTTCCGTCTCTCTATACAAAGCCCTCCCATTATGAACATCCCCCACCAGAGTGGTACATTTGTTACAAATGATAAACCCTACACAAACATATCATTATCAAGCAGGGTTCACAGGTTACATTAGGGTTCACTTTTGGTGCTGCACATTCTATGGGTTGGACCAATTTATAAGGACATGCATCCACCATTTTACTATCATACAGAGTAGTTTCACTGCCCTAAAAATTCTCTATGATTCACCCAGTCATCACTCTTCTATATGTTTATTTTTATAGTATAAAAATTACCCATTATTAATCATGACCTATTGCTGTTAAAATGACTATAATTATAAATTGATTAAAATACTAAATAAATGTGTCTTTTACATTGAGAGTCATCACAAGTAAATCCACTACTGGATTAATTTTTAAAATATACATATTCTAAATTGTGACAGTGAACTCAGTTTACTCTCTTCCATTTACATTAGTGCCATTAGGATACTCTATTATGCTATCTTTATTATCCACATCATCAAAAAAAGATTCATATGTAGTCAGTACACAGTATTTACAAAACTATCAATATAGACTTAAGGCCCTCTGAGAACATTTCAACAACTCTTAAAAGAAGCAGAACATTCAGCTTAACAAAATTTCCCATTGCCTGAGCCTTCTCGTTACCTGAATTTTTATACTATCCACACCTTGTACCTCACATTCTAAGACATTCATTCATTATATACTTATTCTATCAAAAAACATTTAATAATTGTCTATTATGTGACAGGCTCTAGTAACACACTGGTGAAAAATATGGGTAAGTTTCCCTACCTTCATGAAGCTTACATTTTAGTGGCGAGTTAGAGACAAGAATCATAACATAACACAGGGCAATGTGATAGAGTGTCTGGAGTGGGTGGATATGGAAATGGGGATGGTTACTTAAAGTATGGTAGTCAAGGAAAACTTCTTTAAAGAGATATTTCAACAGAGATCTGATAAGGAGGTTACCATTCAAAGACTTTAAGAAAGAAGATCTAGGGCAGTGGGAAAAGCAATTGCAAAGAGTGGAGGCAGGAACCAGACTGAAGGAACAGCTAGGAAGTCAGTTTGCTGGGGTGCAGGGAGCAAGCAAAAGAATGGTATGAGGTAAGGCAGAAGTTGGCAAAGACATGATCATATGGGAGGCCATGATAAGCAGTATAGATTTTAATGTGATTGTCATCGAGACCACTGGAGAACTTTAAGTTTGGGTATAATATTTTCTGACTTATATTTTCTAAGAACCCTGACTACTATATGGAGAATGGACTACGAGGAGACAAGAATGAGAGAGGAAAGATCAAAGAAAAAGCTGTGGCAGCAGTCCATCCAAGAGGCTTGCTCCATGTGACTTAGACTAGGGTTATAATAGTGAAGAAGATGATGAGTCAATGTAGACAGCATGTGTTGTATGGGGAGTAACAGGACTTGCTGATAAACTGACTTGGAGTTGTAAAGGGTAGTAGAATCTAGTAAGACACATGGTAGCGCCATTTACTGCAATGCAGAAGACAGGGAAGAAACTGGAGACACAGAGGAGTGCAGGTTCCCCTGCAGTAAGGAACTCTTTCCCTAGCCCTCACCTCACACACACTGGCAGAAGGAGAACTGGGTCACAGAGATAAAAGATGTGAGCACCATATCACACCAGCACCACTTGTCCAACCCAAAGTTCTAGAGTCACAGCCCTAGCATACGCTGGGGATAGGAAAGAAAATAACTTGCAATCAACTAAGCTACTGAAGCTTAAAAATACGTAGGCTGAGTCTTAGATAAGAAATGTGGTAACGAAAATGACCTGAAAAGTTTTGGAATTGAACCAAGATGTTGTCCAGGAAGATGCAATACAAGGGAAAGAGGGGTTGACAGAGCACAGCTGAAAGCAGTAACAGGAAAAAATAAAACTCTTACATCTATTCCCCAAGGTTTTCAGAATACTTAATAAATGAGGAACCAAAAGTGACTTGAGAACGAGGAAGTGGTCAGTTGTATCAAAGCTGCTGTAAAGTTTAAAACGATGAAGACAGAGAAGTGACTTTCGAATTGCAATATGGCAGTGGCTGACCACCTTTTAAGTGGTCATTTTAGTCATTTTAGTAAGCTGTAGAGACACAAAAGCCGAATCAGCATGGGTTAAAACAAACAAAAACACAACAGGACAGGAAGCAAGGGAAATAAAAGGAAAAATTACAATCTTCTGAGAACATGAGCCACAAACACATGAGAAAAAAACAAAAAACCAAAAAACAATACCAGACCTTTTAAAATCAGAATGGCACTTTCATTCCTAGCATCCTTCACAGAAATGCCACTACTGTTCAATATTCTGCAACCAAAGCATACATAGTGCAGGAAAGACTAATTTCCAAGTAAATTTTTCTTTTCTTACCTTCAGTGATTAAATTCAATGTGTCTTGTTTTCCATCTCCTTCTTGTGAATGACTTGGATCCAGCGAAGTCTGAGAAAGGCTAACTTCAGCTGATAACTGGTCAAGACTTTGATAACTTTTTCTGTAAAACAAGAGTGAAATACTACTTGGATTTCTTCTCACAAAAAAATAATTTCTAGAGATATTCTTCAATGTTTTTCTTCAATTTACTGAGTTTTGGTTTATTTCTCCACAATTTTCCCCCTCAACTCTGTCTCTATTGTGGCTGCAATATGATCTCCATTATACTTTTCCCTCTACCCTCTTTGGAGGTCTCTGGGATTGATCAACTAAAAAAGAAAAACAGTTTGTCAAACTAATTTAAACCCTTACACAAATTTTTGATTATTTAGCTGCTTAGAAAGTGGAGACTTTGTGGTTATTATCAATTTTCTTTTCTTTTTTAGCAGGCTTCACACCCAGGCTGGAGCCCAGTGTGGGTCTTGAACTCACAACTCTGAGATCAAGACCTGAGCTGAGATCAAGGGTCAGATACCTAACCACTAAGCCATCCAAACACCCCTGGTTATTGTCAATGTTCAAAGGAGTGGAAAATCTACAGATTACTCTTAATGTAGAAACCAAAATGATATAACTTAATAATGATGTATTATCTCTCAGGCACTTCAAAATTCACCAATGTCTTGATATTCTTATGGATGCTTTTACATAAGAGTAATTACAAATTACCATTACAAATTCCTCTAATTTAGAAGTTTAAAAATCTTGGATTATAAAATAGGTGTTTTTGTTAATATACTATGAAGATAACTAATTTTCTTCCCTCATGTATTTGCTACTGTGATTTCGATTTCCGTTAAATTAAGAGAAATGAATTGTAACAGAGGAAAAATTCCATTATTTTTTTTTTTTTTTAAATTTTTTTTTTTTCAACGTTTATTTATTTTTGGGACAGAGAGAGACAGAGCATGAACGGGCGAGGGGCAGAGAGAGAGGGAGACACAGAATCGGAAACAGGCTCCAGGCTCCGAGCCATCAGCCCAGAGCCCGACGCGGGGCTCGAACCCACGGACCATGAGATCGTGACCTGGTTGAAGTCGGACGCTTAACCGACTGCGCCACCCAGGCGCCCCAGGAAAAATTCCATTATATATGGAAACTTAATAAGATTTATTATTAAACTTTCCTCATATTTCTTTTGTCAAGATAAAAACAACTCAAAAGACTTAGGCAGTTTTGGTGTTATTGACATATTGACAAGTAAGAGAATGGAATTCAATATTATTTCCAAATACATCTGATCCAGGAAAAATAGTATGTTTTTCAGGTTTAATATCTATTTCCCAAGGTAGCCAAACCCTAACTAATTTCCTAGAAATTTCATATATTCTATGATAACATTACAGGAGAGTGTATGTAATTTAAATGATCTATTCCAGAGCTATTCTCTATTCAGACACAGAAGAGTAAACTTACAAATTTATTTAAAGGAGAATCTATTGTAGGAAACTTCTGATAACTGTAATACATAAAATATATTATGAGCTATACAACATGTAATAAAGAAGGATAGCCAATATTTATATAATGCTTCCCACTATATAGGTACTGTTCCTACATGTTTATATAGATTAATATATTTACTCCTCACAAATACTCTAAGAGGTTGGAATTATACTGTTCCCAATTTATAGCAGAGTTAACCAGGGCACAAAGAGACTAGATTTGAACCTCATAGCCTGGCTCTAATTCTGTCTCATTAACTTCTATGCTATCTCCTTTCCTACTACAGAGAGAGAAAAAAAATGTTTTCTGTTTTATTAGAAACCCTTCCTAGGTTTCAGTTTGCTTACAGAGATTGACCACGTCAACTATACTGTATGTAATCGTATCACTGAAAATTTCACTTGACTTTCATTAAAACTGTATTTCTTTAGCTATACAAGAAAGCAGGGAACACAGGAATTCAATAAAGGAAGTTATAAATAAGTTTCTTTTCCAAATTATTTTTCTGTGCCTAATAGGTAGAAGGCCTGTCTTTAAATGGCTTTAAGGGAGTTTCTGACACTGGACTTTCATCATTAGAAACTTGATAAAAAGTTACTATTATTAAATTTAAAAAATTATAAAAATATTTACAAACAACAAAGTACCTAGTAGCAAAACAAACATCAAATTAATTTGAAAATTATAAGGACTGAGAGCTTGACAGCACACATTTATAGAAATCAAGTATTGTCACTACTGGAGGGGAGGAAAGCCTGCAAAAGTCTATAAAAGCAATCTCTGGTAAAAGCAACACAAAATGAGCTTTCTGCGTGAACTATTTAAGTTCCTTTTAGATATCATATTTCCAAATCCAAAGTGATTATGGACACTTTCTAACCTCTAATTTGTTACACTTAGTAAACAATCTTTCAGTTTACAGGCTTCACTTAACCAATTGTCAATGAACATAGAAATAGAATTTGGTAGACAATGACTTCTGAAGCAGTATAAAAATGCCTAGGCAAAATTAGGCACCTGAATCAAAAGATATTAAGAACAGTACCATGTAATATCTTCCTTGCATGAAAATGATTACAGATCTACCACCTGGGAGAAATCTGGTTTAGCTGTTTGTAGTAATGACCAAGAAAGGTTTTCCACATTCTTACCTGAGTTCCAATGCAACTGGTGCTCCACCTGACAAACATGTTGTCATGGAGTAAACTGTCTATGGGAGTTCTGTTTTTAAAAGGTCACCGCTAAGTCCTATTTTAGAATTCTAGACTCATTAGCATCATACTGTAAAATTGAAATGTCACCCACCAAACACATCAAGCCCATCAACAGTCTAAGTCTACTTTCCAGAAGTGAATTTTTCAAGTAGAAATAGCTTACTTATTCAAAATAAGAACCCCAGATAGTAAGACAGGAGTTATGTCATAAGCATCTGGGACATAAAACCAAAAACCAAAAAACAAAAAACAAAACATTGCATTCAATATCTAATTACTTAAAATTTTAAATCACTCAAATCCAAACTTGTATACAAAGAATTTGGACACCAAATAAAGGCAAATTAAAAGGAAACTGAGTAGGCCTGAATTCACTTATGAATAAATTTTCTACAGTCTTAGACTTCATATCAATGATCAGAAGTAATGATATCGATAATCTGTATCACCTATTTGCCCAAGAGATATACAGAGGTCAGTAATAATTTACATTATCTCATAGTCATTGGGGAAGAGAGTATTAGGCTCAGAAGGAGACACTTTCCACACGTAGAAAATAAAAACAAAGATACATACAGTATATACAAAGAGGCACATACGTGTGTGCATGGAGCCAGAGATAGGCTGTTCTTTTTATTCTTGGTTTGATTTTCATAGAAATGTGTTTAAAAAAGAAAACAAACATTTCCTATAGTAGAATACTGATATACTTTTAAACTACTAAAATTAATGGAAGGATGCAAGGGAGCCTGAAAGGGAAGGCTGTATGCGAGTCAGGTCAATGCAAAATTTATAAGTTGTAAAAGATTTTTGCAGTCTCAATGCTTTGGGGAGTCCTACTCCAAAAATACTGGAAAGATTCACATAAGAAGAAGACCCTATAAGACATTTGAAGTAATTATACCTACTTATCAGCAGTCATTCAAAAATGTTAGCCTAAAGAGTAGATCATGAATGGCATATAAAAGCTCATAATTCTTAATAATTTTGTGAATGACAGCCTAAATGAAAATAATGATAAATTTACAAGACAAAAAAGCCTAAGTGGAAAATAAAAAGATGATGATAATGAATCTGATCTTTAGGGATGGAAATGGGTGGGTTAAGGCAATAATCTAACAAGATTATATAATATAATAAAATTATATAACCTGTATCTGATAAGCTCATGTGACCTAGACTTAACATATAAATATAAATAAACATTAAAATAGGACCAAATTGGAAATAAAAAAGTAATCAAATGCTCTCCAGGTGTGTGTTAAGGGAATGTGCTTACATATTTATTGTTGAGTTTTTACAATCAGCCTATAAGGCTTGAAACATTTTTAACAAGATATCTCTAATGTTTGAAATAAAGGAAAAGATAGAAAATCTAACATAATTAATATTGCCAGGTCTAAGTAATCAAGAAAACAATGGAAATGATACTTCTAAAGCTTTATTAACAGTACAATAAATGAAAATAAATGTAAAATCTTCTACTATGCAAAGGATTTCTTCCATGAGTAGATGACAACATAGCTAAGTTACCCAATCACTCATTTTAAGAAATGTCTGCAAGACCAAGAAATTGATCAAGTCAAATAGCACCTTCTCAGTCTTTTCAAAGCTAATTCAGCAAATCTCCTAGAGAAATACAGGCATCATATTTTCTTAGCAGGAAATTATAATTATAATACATATAATGACTACTTATATGGTCAATTTCTCTCTCCGAATTATCAAGAGCACTAATGTTCCTTATTAAGAGATTCTGGCCACTTTGATAATAATTTGTAGGTTCTCAAAAATGTTTGTTAAACTACTGAAGATATTGGTCAAATTAAGAGGAAAAAATGATGAGGTTAGTTCAAGAACTTTAGCTTATATTACAAATTTGAGAACAGCAAAAACTAATCCTGAGAAAAGCTATGATGTTTCAAACATGATTTATACAGCACCACTCTAATCTGAAAATTCAAAGTCTCCATTTTTACATTAAAAAGTTGCATTAAAAAGATTATTTGTTCAGAACATCTGGGGATTTGCTGGTCATTTTAATTTTACATAGGTTTTACAAACTCTCAAAGGAGAGCTTGGGACAGTGGGTGGGTGTATATTCTCCAAACATGGAAGACACAAGGTTATCTGAGAACATAAAAAAAAGACTATACAGAGTATAAAAGATTTCGTGAGAAGTATTAGGTGCCAAGCAACTTATTACTCATTTGAACAGGAATTAGCCCCAGTATTACATGTGCAGAAGGTAAGAGGAGGTATTGCTTAGTGTTGTTACACATCAAGTAGGGTAGCAGAGATTACTTTTAAATCCTGACCTTACACTCTAGGTCCAGTGATCTCCATACTACACCTGCAAACATTTTGCATACTAGCTGCAAATATTTTGTTCAGGAATAGGGCCATCTAAAGGCAATAACAACATCTACAGTAAGGCCAGATTAAAAGATGATGCTGAGAAAGAGCTAATGGAGTAAGTAGCTGAGTCAAGGAGTATAAAATCGGGATCCACGTCAAACAGTTTCACTACTTTCTTTTCTGATACTCCAATTACTTTTGCTGCTGCTATAATACTTTGTAAAAGCTAGTCATTATTCCCACATACAAAGGTAAACTTGAAGTAACTCTTCCATTTAGACTCACTGGTTCCTCAATAGGTAGCTCTACAGGCAGCCAGGGCTACAAACACATCTTTTTGGCTAAAATATTTTACCTTGTACTACCTAAAGTAACAATGTGGATATTGTAGTAAAAAAGCGTATTACTAGTCTTTTAACTTGTCAGGAGTTAATCTTTCAATATTTTTATAGTTCTAAAAGCAAGAGTATCTTGTATGTTATATAGAAATAAGAACCAAGTATTAAAAGAGATTCAGTTTTTTCATCATATATCAGAAATATGAATAAACTAATATTTTTATTACTTACATACATTATAGAAAAATAAAATTATATACCAGTATAAGAAGATATACTCTAGTTATTCAAATTTTTCATAGGGGTATATAAGGGAACTAGATCCCAATCCATGAAAGCTTCAGTCAATACCTTGAATCATGGGTTAGTAGATAATGAAAACAGTTCTAATGATTTATTCTGTAAATAATCTGCTCACTCTTCCTTATCTCTAGCAATCAGTGAAACCAACAAGCAAAAAAGGCAACAGAAGCTCAAATTTATTTTGAGTATTCCCTCTGATAAATGAAAAAAATCACATAGTAAACAGGCGGAAATTAAGTCTATGCTGAAACAATCCCTGTAGAAATGTCTAGCTACTAACTACCTAGTGAAAAGCACCCTAAGAAGCACAAATGGAAGTGGGTAACTCTACCAGTGAAGTGTAAATACAAGAACTCTAAAAGAAGAGTAGAGAAACAAACAAACAAACAAAAAAAGAGGGAGGCAGGCAGGGAGGGGAGAAGAAAGGAAAGAGAAGAAAGTGGGGGGGAGGAGGAAAGGGAGAGAACAGAAGGGGATGGAGGGACAACGGGGAAATAATTAGAAAATTAGCTGAAGATAGAAAAATAAAGATAACCAAAAAGTTATCAAGATGGACAAAATGTCTAAAAGCCAAAAGAAGGTAATACAAAATTTAAGTTCAAAACGAAGATACCATAAAGGAATGCAGCCTAAGATTTGGCAGATTTCTCAACATTGCAACACTCTGACTTAATGAAATAGTCCTGAAAAGGGATAAAAAATAGGTAAAGGATCTTGTGGCCAACAGGTGGGGTGATTATATCTTCTATAGCCTCCAAAAATTAGATTTATTGAAAATAAGCAAAACTCTTTCAGACCCACCAAGAACAGGTAAGTATCTTTCCATTCTTTCATGAGATGGAATTTTTTCTCACTGGCAGGACAATTATTCCTAAGGCAAATACAAATACCAAAGCTAAAATTCAAAAATAGGTGGCTCATTAAATATGAGCTCATAGACTTAACTGAAGGACTGGCTGAAGACTAAAGGAGAAGCAGGTAGCCGGTACAATACTGCTTAAGAATTTCTTAGATACTTTACTTCCCCAGGGTGCCTTGGCTTCAAAATACTAACATATTTACTGCTTTAATCTGACTTTATCAAGCCAAAGTAGTCTTAAATTCTACTTTTGCCCTAAAGTAATAATGAATTCAGAAAGACGAATACGTGAGAAACCAAAGTGGATAACCAAATGTTTTGGTAGAACTAAATTTGTAATTAGTTGGAAAAAAAAGTATTACACTTACTCATACCACTGTTTATTGTGTTTTCGGTAAAGCAACGTATCCAAGGCAACAGCATTGACATCCAGAGCTCCTGGGGAAGGCCACTGGTTGGTGAGGTGGGCAGTTAACTCTTGTCTTGATCTTAAATCATTATTCTTTAGCACAGTCCTGTGAATATTAAGATGGTGAGTGCTTTTGTCTTCATTGCTCTGCAATGGCAGAGGAACCTAATGGTATCAACCTGGCCCCCAAAATTCATCTTTTAAAATGGTACGTTAACAGATTGTCAACAGAACTACAGGAAGACTAGTTGGGGCTATGACTATCTCCTACAATATGCGTTTTTCACTTTTTCTCCAAAGGCTGTAACAAATCACTAACGTGTGAAATGCAGACTTTCAATCTTTTACAGAGATGTTACTAAAGGACTAAAGCTGAATTTCACATCTTACCTAAAAAACTAGGGTGATATCTTAAAGTTATAGATTATTAGATGCCAGTTAAAATAAGAAAAGATAGCATGTGTATGATTTTTTAGCTTCAAAATTCACAATCTATTAAAGTCATTTAACTCAGTAAACAAAAAACAATTAAAATGAATAAAAAATAAAACCACATCAGAAAAACATAAAATGAAAAATCCATAAGGTTTCTGCAATTTTTTTTATAAAAGTGACCACCAATAAATCTTTATAAAAATAATTCCATCAGGGCACGTGGGTGGCTTAGTTGGGTGAGCGTCCCACTCTTGATTTCAGCTCAAGTCATGATCCCATGGTTTATGAGTTTGAGCCCCATATGGGATTCTCTCTCATCCTCTCTCTCTCTCTGCCCCTCCCCTGCTCACGCATGCTCTCGCTCTTCCTCAAAATAAATAAACATTTTTAAAAAAGAAAATAATTAAATCAATGATAACTACATTGAACAATACAACCCACTGGAAATATTTCCATTTACAGAATGAGGCCATTATAATACATGGTTTATTCTCATTTTTGTAGAACCGTTAATAACAATTTTCAAAAGAAGTTAATTTTTGCCAAAATTTAAACCTCACAAATCACTGTCACAAGACTAATTCAACATTTGAGTCGGTAGTTAAAGATAATTTAAAAGCATAATTCTAGGGGCACCTGGGTGGCTTCAACTTCTGACTTCAGCTCAGGTCATGATCTTACCATTGCTGAGTTTGAGCCCTGGGTCAGGCTCTGGGCTGACAGCTCAGAGCCTGGAGCCTGTTTCAGATTTTGGGTCTCCCTCACTCTCTCTGCCCCTCCCCAACTCATAGTCTCTCTCTCTCAGTCTCTCTCTCTCTCTCTCAAAAATAAAATAAAACCAT